ATTCAAAAGATGAACAAATCCAGGAGTTTTTTTTTTTTTTTTAAACGGAGTTTCGCTCTTGTTACCCAGGCTGAAGTGCAATGGCGCGATCTCAGCTCACTGCAACCTCCGCCTCCTGGGTTCAGGCAATTCTCCTGCCTCAGCCTCCTGAGTAGCTGGGATTACAGGTATACACCACCACGCCCAGCTAATTTTTTGTATTTTTAGTAGAGACAGGGTTTCACCATGTTGACCAGGATGATCTCGATCTCTTGACCTCGTGATCCACCCGCCTTGGCCTCCCAAAATGCTGGGATTACAGGCGTGACAGGAGCTTTTTTTTTTTGAAAAAAATTCGTAAAGCAGATAGACTGCTAATTAGACTAATAAAAAAGAAAAGAGAGAAGATCCAAATAAACACAATTAGAAGTGACAAAGGGGGTATTACCACTGACCCTGCAGAAATACAGATAACCATCAGAGAATATTATAAACACCTCTATGCACATAAACTAGAAAATCTAGAAGAAGTGGAAAAATTCCTAGACAAATACACCCTCCCAAAGCTGAAAGAGAAAGAAACTGGATCCCTGAACAGACCAATAATGTGCTCTTAAATTGAATCAGGAATAAATAGCCTAACAAACAAAAAAAGCCCTGAACCAGATGGATTCACAGCTGAATTCTGCCAGACATACAGAGAAGAGCCAGTACCCATCACTACTGAAACCATTCTAAAAAAACTAGGAGGGACTCCTCCCTAACTTATTCTATAAGGCCAGCATCATCCTGATACCCAAACCTGGCAGAGACACAACGAAAAGAGCAAACTTCATGCCAGAATCCTTGATAAGTATTGATGCAAAAACCCTCAACAAAATACAGGCAAACCAAATCCAGCAGTACATCAAAAAACTTATCCACCATGATCAAGTAGGCTTTATCCCTGGGATGCAAGGTTTGCTCAACATATGCAAATCAATAAATGTGATTCATCACATGAACTGAAGACAAAACACAATTATCTCAATAGATGCAAAAAAATAAAAGCTTTCAATAAAATTTAACTTATCTTCATGTTAAAACTCTCAATAAATGAGGTATTGGGAGAACATACCTCAAAATAAGACATCTATGATAAACTGATAGCCAATATCATATTGAATGGGCAAAGCTGGAAGCCCTGCCCTTGGAAACACAGACAAGGATGCCCTCTCTCCTATGTAACATAATATTGGACGTCCTTCCCAGAGCAGTCAGGCAAGAGAAAACAATAAAGAGCATTCAGATAGGAAGAGAGGAAGCCAAACTACCCCTATTTGCAGATGACATGATCCTGTATCTAGAAAAACTTATAGTCTCAGCCCAAAAGCTCCTTCAGCTGATAAACAACTTCTGCAAAATCAATATATGAAAATCACTAGCATTCTTACACACCAATAACACTCAAGCCAACAGACAAATCAGGAACAGAATCCCATTCACAATTGCCACAAAAAGAATAAAATACCCAGGAATACAGCTAAACAGGGAGATGAAAGATCTCTACAAGAAGAACTGCAAAACACTGCTCAAAGAAATGATACAAACGCATGGAAAAAAAATTTCATGCTCATGGATAGGAAGAATTAATGTTGTTAAAATGGCCATACTGCCCAAAGCAATTTATAGATTCAATGTTATTCCTATGAAACTACCACAGACATTCTTTACAGAACTAGAAAAAAACATTTTAAAATTCATATGGAACCGAAAAAGAGCTGAAATAGCCTAGGCAACACTAAGCAAAAAGAACCAAGCTGAAGGTATCATGCTACCTGACTTCAAACTATACCACAGGGCTACAGTAACCAAAACAGCATGGTACTGGTACAAAAACAGACGTATAGACCAACGGAACAGAATAGAGAGCCCAGGAATAAGGCCACTACACATGCAACCATCTGATTTTTGACAAAGCTGACAAACGACAAGCAATGGGGAAAGGACTCCTTATTCAATAAATGGTGCTGGGATACTGGATAGCTGATGAAGACTGAAACCGGACCCCTTCCTTATACCACATACAAAAATCAGTTCAAGAGGGATTAAAGACTTACATATAAAACCCAAAATTATAAAGACCCTGGAAGACAACCTAGGCAATACCACTCTGGACATAGGAATCGGCAAGGATTTCATGACAAAAATACCAAAAACAATTGCAACAAAAGCGAAAGTTGACAAACGGGATCTATGTAAACTAAAGAGCTTCTGCACAGCAGAAGAAACTATCCACAGAGTAAACAGACAGCCTATAGAATGTGAGAACATTTTTGCAAATTCTGCATCTGACAGAGGTCTAATATCCAGTATCTATAAGGAACTTAAACAAATTGACAAGAAAAAAACCCACCTCATTAAAAAGTGGGCAAAAGACATGAACAGGCACTTTTCAAAGGTAGACATACATGTGGGCAACAAACATGAAAAATAAACATCACTGATCATTAGAGAAATGCAAACCAAAAGCACAGTGAGATACCATCCCACATCAGTCAGAATGGCTACTATTAAAAAGTCAAAAAAGAATAGATGCTGGCGAGGTCACAGAGAAAGAGGAACACTTTTACACTGTTGGTAGCAATGTAAATTAGTTCAACCATTGTAAAAGCAGTGCGGTGATTCCTCGAAGACCTAAAAACAGAACTACCATTTGACCCAGCAATCCTATTAACAGATAAATATCCAAAGGAATATAAATCATTCTACCATAAAGATACATGCACACATTATGTTCAGCATTATTTGCAACAGCAAAGACATGGAATCAACCTAAGTGCCCATCAACTGTAGACTAGAAAATGTGGTACATACACATCATGGAATACTATGCAGCCATAAGAAAGAACAAGATCATGTCCTTTGCAGGGACATAGATGGAGTTGGAGATTATTATCCTTAGCAAAGTAACTCAGAAACAGAAAACCATACACAGCATGTTCTCACTTCTAGGTGCGAGCTAAATGATTAGAATACATGGACATAGAGGGGAACCACGCACACTGGGGCCTATTGGAGGATGAGAGGAGGAAGGGGATCAGAAAAAATAATAGGTACTAGGCTTAGCACCTGGGTAACAAAAGTTTGTACAACAAGCCCCTATGACACAAGTTTACCTATATAACAAACTCACACATGTGCCCCTGAAGATAAAAGTTAAAAAACACAGATGACTGCCCTGTTCCCCTGCAAATCAGAGTCGGAGGGACAGTGCATGAAGGAGCACATTTCCTAACGGCTGGAGGTCCATGTGAGCTGCACCCAGCAACAGCCAGCTTCCTCAGCAGTGGGAATGCCATCTGCTAGTGGCAGAGGGGGACACAGGTTTTCTGGACACTGGTTGGCTTACTGAACTCTTGCCCAATGCTCAATAGCCAGTTTCAGACTTGGGCTGAGAATGTTCCAGCAGGAGGTTCCAATGAGGTGGTTTAGACCTGCACTTTGGGTTCCACTCTTACCTACTTGAAGCCTTTGGGGAACATCCCAACATTTGTGGAATACTGGTTGGTTTAGTGAACTTTTTCCTACCATCCCACCCCACTCCTAATCCCTAAGGAGAAAACAAAAGGTTTCCTACCCCAAAGTGGATCACTTTTAGGGATGTGAATTCGCCAGCCACTGCAGAGCAGGTAAGAAGACGAGTGCTGAGTACGGCTGAGTGCAGCTTTTGGTTTGGGCTTCTAATGAAAGACAGCTCAGCCGCTTGTTGAAGCAACCCCTCTTCAACACTTGAGGAGTCTAAGCTTTAAGAAGCAGGGTGCATTGGCCCTAAGACTGCTAAGGATCACACTGAGGGTCTGAGGCAGCCAGGTCTTCAGGGGGCCCTGAGAAAGCCCCTAACAGGGCACCTATGAGTTAGTTCCAAGTAAGAAAAATGTTGAGCAGATCCCTTGACACGCACAGGCCACCCCCCATGGGCATCCATCACTGTTAGGTAGCACTCGCACAAGCACCCTCACCAGGGCAACCCAGCTAACCCTTGCACAACCCTGTGGATTGCAGCCCCAATTGACTCAGGAGCAAACATTCAGAGATGCTGAGTAATTTGCTGGAGTCCAGGCCCTCAGTATTTGGTGGGATTCCAGCATCAGGTCAAAATGTCATTCTCATTAGTGAGACCTGAAAGAGTCTGGAGGCAACTGGTTTTTCCCTGGATGTATTCTGTCTCATGTAATGATCTCCCTCACTTAGTTGAATGTCTATTCACAATGGCTGGGTGCAATCAACCTCAGGTACAAGACACCAGACTTCTAATTTATTATTATCTAAGGCAACAGAAAGATACAATGACCTCACAGGGAACATGCACGGTAGAGTAAGTGTCCAACACCTTGCTTCTCCCCAACGTCTTCCCAGGTTGGGGTTGGAAGGGTCTGGTGCTGGAGCAGATCCTTGGCTGTGGATCCTGGCTCCACCATGCAGCAGCCATGTGTTGGGTGCATTGCCTGTGGGCCTCACTTTCCTCATCTATAAAATGGGGATAGCAGGTCCCACCTCATGGGGGTATGATGAGGAACAAATGGGGGCACAGTGCCTGGCACAGAGGGAGCACTTGATACATGATTGGCCTAGGAGGGCATGAATGCCAAGTCGTGCGACTCTGCACCCCCAGGGCCTGGCACATCAATAAATGCTCCTGATGGAGAAGACAAATGTGAGTCAGCTGTGGGGGACACAGTGTGAGAGTGCTGGCTCAGTTCAACAACAGTTCAACAACATATTTCTAAAAAAAATACTTTCCAAAGAGCAAAGTTCAGACCAAGCCTGAGATTCTGAGTTCCCTTGGAGTTTCTCTAATTAAAACTCATTATTTCAATATACAGAAATGTGGCAGTAGAAAATGAAAACACACAAGTAATAAATGTGAAGCTCTTCTCTAAAAATGACTCCCGCTCCGCAATGAGCATTCAGAAAATGCTGCAGTAATTACTCTCCCATGATTGAATCGGAGTTTTCCCAAAGATAAATACACATAGAGCCTCGTCATAATACTTTTTTTATTACAATATCCAAAAAACTGGGTATGCAAGTTTAGGGGATCTCAAGACCCCTTCTTCAATTGTAGGAATGTGCCATCTCAAGACGGTATATTTAAACTATAAAGAAGTTCAAATGTAAAGGAAAAAGAAAATGCAATTTCTTCATAAACATTCTGTGTGTCTCTTACTACCAATCACATACTCTTCTGTAAACCCTGAAAATTTTCCCTGTAAATAATATATATATATATATAGTGTGTGTGTGTGTGCATGTGTGTGTGCGTGTCTATGTGCGTGTGTGTGTATAAAGTGTTGGTAGCTCCCTTCCCCAAAGATCAGCTGTTTTCCTTAATCATCTGTATTAGTGTCAACAAACAGCTACAGATACATATTTCTTTGAGAATTAAATACATAATTGTGAGATTCAAACAAGCCAAAGGGCAAGAGGAAAAAGCACTATGTGGATGGCACATTTGGGGTAAATTACCAAAACATCTGTCTGAGTCACCGGTTCCCTCTTTTGCAGACTGCCTTTCCAGGAAACTCTTTCTTTATTGCAAGCACAGCCCCAAAGGCACTGGGCAGTCTCCTCACTGCCATCGCACCCGGTGGTTCCAGTATTGCTATCAGCAAACATGTCGGCTCCCTGCAGAGTCCGGGAGCCATGTAAGGGCACAGGACACGGGCGAGGGCTGCTAGGACTGGGGCCATTGCACCTGCTCTGCCCAGCACGTGGAGGGCCCAGGACGTGGGTGCCGCCGCTGGGTGGCCTGAGGCTCGCTCACGCGCTCAAAGGTGCCCCGTGTCTTTGTCATGAGGGGTTCCGTGAGCGGGATCGAGTGCCGTTCCCAATGGAAAAGGAATAACGTGAACTCGCCCTGCTCCTCCCCTCCGCTAAAGGTGGCCGGCCGGGTGGGCTCGAGTGTGGGTGAGGCCTGGATGGCGAATGGGAGACAAACCGACCAAGCGACCTGAACTTAAAGAGAGACTCGCTGGGAAGCCGTCGGGGCCGTCCCCACGGGAGGAGCCTCCGCGGCAGGGCCGGGCGGTAGCGCCACCAAGCGGCGAGCGTGGGGCCGGGGCGCCGTCACTGCAGGGCCCTGACGAGGTAGAGCTTCTCCCCGTGCTCGCTGGTGAAGATGGGCGCCTTTTTGTAGTGTTCCACCAGCTCGTCCATGGTGTGGAAGCGCCGCTGCCCAATGCAGTAGACATTGTCCACGAGCTGCACCTTGAAGTGTTTGTTCTTCCCTGACGCTTTAAGGGACACGGAGAAGTCGCTGGGCTGCGGAGGAAACAGAACACAGTTACAGCCGGGCCACAGCAGGGAGCGCCTGTCCAGCACGGGGAGGCCCAGGACGTGGGCGCCGCCGCTGGGTGGCCTGAGGCTCGCTCCACTGACTCTGAACCCTCCGGGCACCTCCATCCACCTCTCCCGCCTGTCAAAATGCAAACCACCTTTTTTTTTTTTTTTTTTTTTTTTGAGACGGAGTTTTGCTCTTGTTACCCAGGCTGGAGTGCAATGGCGCGATCTCGGCTCACTGCGAACGACCTCCATCCGTGGGGTTCCAGGGATTCTCCTGCCTCAGCCTCCCGAGTAGCTGGGTCTATACGCACCCGCCACCACGCCCCGATACATTTTGTATTTTTAGTAGAGACGGGGTTTCCCCATGTTGGCCAGCTGGTCTGGAACTCCTGACCTCAGGCAATCTGCCTGCCTTGGCCTCCCAAAGTGCTGGGATTACAGGCATGAATCACCGTGCCTGGCAGGGTCTCTGTTTTATATCTAGAATGGCATCTGACGTCCAGAAAGACCCGGAGGCAGTCCATGATTCTGAAGTTCCGAACAGAAGAAAAATTACACTCTGCTTAGCTCAGTTTCAGTGCTAAATGCGTTTTAGTTATTTGAAAAGTGCAAACTCATTATGGAATATACAGCACCTCATTATGGAATATACAGTGCTGACCTGACTGCTCAAGAAATTTGTCATTTTTTATTTACCAAACTATTTTTTGATAAACCGGGAATTTATTAAGAGTGGTTTGTAGGTAGGCAGTAGCTAGAAATATTACTTCTGATGTCTAACACTGTTAGAAATTAAGACATCAAAAATTTTCTAATTCTAAGCATTTAAAAATATAAAGAGCAGTAGAAAATTCTGGTTGCATTTTAAACACAGTTCACAATCTCCCAGAGGAAGCTGAACTATGGTTTGATTACAGATTTTATTGAAAAATATTTAAATTCTGTGATCTGTCAGTGTCTTAGTTATATTTCAGAATGTCTTAGAAATATGTCATTATTTTAATTAAAATGGGTCTTTTATTGGCTGGGTGCAGTGGCTCACGCCTATAATCCCAGCACTTTGGGAGGCTGAGGCAGGCATATCACTTGTGGTCAGGAGTTTGAGACCAGCCTGGCCAACATGGTGAAACTCTGTCTTTACTAAAAGTACAAAATTAGCTGGGTGTGGTGATGCGCGCCTGTAATCCCAGCTACTCGGGAGGCTGAGGCAGAACTGCTCGAACCCAGGAGGCGGAGGTTGCAGTCAGCTGAGATTGCACCACTGCACTCTGGCCTGGGCAACAAGAGTGAAACTCCGTCTCGGAAAAAAAAAAAAAAATAGCTTTTATCTCATTTTCTGAACAACATGCAGTAAAGAAGATAATGAATGACAAATGTTCTTTTACAAAAATATCGTTTTGATCAATTAATTAAACAAATAACAATTAGTTACTAACACATGCCAGGCAGGCTGTGCCCTGGATACGTGTATGCGTGCATGCAGGATATATGCTCTGTGACAAGCCAGTGCATATAAATAGAGATGGATAAATAGAGGTGGACAGATGGCTGCATTGGGCAGTAAGTTCTATGAAGAAAACCCCAGAGCTGCATGGGAGAGGAACATGAGCTACCAGAGCTCTACATGTGTGAACGTGCGCATATGTGAGAGGGAGTATGTGCGTATTAAGAGAGAACGTGTAGTGTGTGAGTGTATGTGTGTACACACACAGGTTATGAGCTCTAAGTATGTGTGTGCACATGTGAGTATATGAATGTACGTGCACACACAGGTATGCACCGGGGGGCAGGAGGGCCCTCTGGATAATGCAGAGGCAGGGCTGGTAGAGAGTGCTTGAGAAATTGGCACCTTGGTGAAGAAAAGGGAAGAAGGTCCTGCTTCTGCAGCACCCAAGGGGCAGTGTGGCTGGTGGAGTGGAGAAGGGAGTCTAGTCCACAAGGTAAGTGCTGCACCTCTGGCTTGCTAGGTAGGATCAGTTCATGCCTGACCAGTGGCAGGACCACAGCCTAATGTCTGAAATTCTGCATGGAATTCCCACATCAGCTTGCTGCTTTTCTCAAAGCCCAGGAACTTCTTGCTCTGGGGGTCCAGTAGCTTGGGGCCCTGCTTTAAGACCTCCTAGTAGGACCTCCAGACAGTGAACAAAGGCCTAGGCCACTGTCTATCACAGAGTTTACAAAAGCCCAAATAAATGTTTGATAAGTGGGCAACCCTTGCAAAATAAGGAATCACTCCACTCACACCAATGACAACACAGGGGAATGAGTAACTGAGAAAACTCAAATTGTGCAAGGCAGCCGGGCTTACCCACCAGCCACAGCTGTTAACAGAAAAGAATGAAAGGAACAATTGTTAAGTATAGTTTGTATTTGTGCATGCTTCTGCCCCAAACAGATCAAATAAGAACAAACCTTTGAGGGAAAAAGCCCCGTCTCATTGCCAAGTGAAACCTGGGGCTCTATGTCTTAGAGGAGGCCCAGGGCATGCTCCTGGATTAAACTCCAGGAAGAAACCAGAAGGTTAATCTCAGATTAGGCCTCAGCCTATAGATGATTATTCTGTAAATATGTATATGCTGTACTAGAAGTTGTGCCTTTAGGAAAAGATGAAGGGCAATCTCAGCTGCAGAGTTTACCATAAGCCAGGCACTGTGCTAGTTTTATAGATACTTTAATCAACTTAGAGATAAAGTGGCATCAGTTTTAGTGGAGGCAGTATGGGAGTGAATCGTGGTAAATATATGATACACCCAATTTTAATTAAGCCAAATGATCAACAGATGACTTTCTGCGTAGGGAAATTTGCTTTTAATTCCAGCTCCTTAATTTAACATCATGGTGTGTGTGTGTGTGCCTGTATGCATGCATGAGTTGCAGCAATAAATTTTCGCAGCAGAAAAGGTAATTTTTAATTCCATGGGCTCCTGAGCAGAAACCTTAAAGTTAAGGATGTAGAGTCAATTTATGCCAAGCAGGAGTGCTAAAAGTTTGGGAGTGTTCTTTAATTTAAACTGAGATTTTCTGTAGGAAATCTAAAAAAGCACAACCTGTATGCTAACATACACCGTGACATGTTACCACTGAGCACCTCTAAGTGAAGTGTGAAGATGAAGTAGGTCAGATGTTCTCCAAATATGCTTTCAAGACTGGCAGCATCAGCATCCTCTGGGAACTGGTTAGAAAGCAAATTATCAGGTGCTAGCCATGGTGGCTCACATCTGTAGTCCCTGCACTTTGGGACGCCATGGTGGCAGGATTGCTTCAGGCCAGAACTTTGACACCAGTTTGGGCAACATAGTGAGATCCTATCTCTACTCAAAATTTTAAATAATTAGCCAGATGTGGTGGTGCATACCTGTGGTCCCAGCTACTTGGGAGGCTGAGGTGGGAGGATCACTTGAGCCCAGGAGGTCAAGGCTACAGTGAGCTATGATAGGGCCACTGCACTCTGGCCTGGATGACAGAGTGAGACCCCATCTCAAAAAAATTAAATTAAAGAAAAAAAAAAAAAAAGCAAATTCTTAGGCTCTGCCCCAGCCTGCTACAGCAGAAATCCTGGGATAGAGCCCAGCCATCTGTGTTTTAACCTCCAGCACCCTCTGTTTTAATAAGCCCTTCAGGAGACGCTGATGCAGTTTGAGAACTGGAAGAAAATTTGGAAAAATATCAGCAGTGTTGGAGCCACCAACAAATTTTAGTCACCAGAAAAAGATAGGAATGCGATTTATGGGCAAGGCAGCCCATAATGGAGGGAGCTCCGGTCTGTGGATGCCTTTCCGACTCTGTCCTGAGGACTCTGGCTCTGTTCCAGACATCCCTCACAGGGAATTTCCCCTGATGGGAAAGCTGGGACACTGCTGGGGACAGTGCTATACGGGCTCTTCCTTTCAAAGCGCGCCAGTCCCTGCATCTGATGGAGATAAGAGTTACTCCTGCCTCCAGAGGGGGCCAGGGAATGATTCCCATGAAAGCAACTCCATCAGTCCTGTTCTCATCTGTTGTCCTTCCATGGTTGGCTTTCTAGAACAGACTTCAAGAAATCAGATGAAAAAGGACCATGCCACACTCACTCCTCAACAAGTACTAGAGTACTGATAGTATGGTAGAGTACTCTACATTTAAGCTTGTCAAAGAATCTTAACACAGTTTTGAAATACACAGTCAAGTTGCTGGCTGAGGCTGCAGTCATGTGAAGGCTCACCTGCGGATGCAAGCTCTACTTCCAAGGCAGTCTGCTCACATGAACCCCTGGGGGGCTCTGTAGGGCTACTTGAATGTACTCGCAACATGGTAGCTGGCTCACTCTAGATCAAGTGACCCAAGAAAGCGCAAAGAGGCAGCCACAGCGCCTGTCTCAGAAGCTGCTCTCCATCGCTTCTGCCACATCTTGGTCATTAGAAGTGAGTTGCTCAGTGCAGTCCATGCTCAAGGGAAGAGGGTCAGTCTCCACCTTCTGAAGCAGAGTACCAAGGAATTGATGGACATCTTTTTAAGCCATCATAGATGAACATGACACTCATTAAAATTTTCTATGGCTGGACTAAACTAGACTCAGTCCTTGGGTTTTGAAACATCTGCCCTTTGATTTCACCTCTGCAACTGCCACCTTTGTGCTACCTCCCACTGTCCCCACTTCCTACACTTTCCATATCCAAATGTTGTACTTACTTGGTATATAGTAATTTCTCTGTGCTGATTACTAGGCAAATTTTCAAATTTTCTAACATTAGACACTTCTTCCTGTTAAGTCCTTCTATGACTATTCCTTATAAGGAATGATTTTTCTATTCTCATAGTTTTTCAATCAATGGTTCTGGAGAATGAACAATTAGTACAACTCATTCATTCGACCCTTCTTTTCAGCAAGTCATTTTCCAAGTGGAATCTAAGGACAATTAATAGGTTGGTGGAAAACCAATCTCTTTCAGGGCCTCTATGATCACGATTGCTTTTGTTTAGGCTTTAGGTTCCGTGTTTGA